CAAAGATGAGGAGATGAGGGAATGGACCTCTGGGGAAGATTACTGTAGAAAGAACAAAGAATGAACAAACAAAGAGGCCCTGAGGTGTTTGGGGTGGGAGGAGTGAGTATTAATCAAGGAAGAGCAAGGCAGTGCATATGGTTGAAACTGAGGGAGGAGAGAAGTAACTAAATATAATTTCAAATACATAAATTATATATATTCCAAAAGGCTTTTTGGTTAATACCTCATTATGAGCATATACATATTTATATAGATAAGTTAGCTATATATATGTGTATTATATATGTAGGTATACATATACTATATAAGTATTATATATATATAATTTTATATATATAAATTTTATATTCCCAATTTCTCATTCCTTTTTAATCAAATGGTTCTGAACTTTAATCAGAGTCCCTGGTAAAAAGTTTAATTGGGAAAAAAGTATCATTTTAGCCTCCTGCTAAAAATTCTGATTTAATTAATGAGAGGAAGAGCCTGAACATCTGATATATCTGAAACTCCCCAGGTGTTTCATACTCTGGTTGTGAGGGTTGAGAGACCCACTGTGGGAAGCAGGCTTCAATGTTAGTAGGTGACCATGCCTTCTGCTGTCTACATATTTGTGTAGCCAGCCTGGTCATATCTGAAAATACATTATTCCAGTCAAAGACTTGGCAAAATAACCAATGTCTGTATCCAGCTGTGTTCTGTTACCAAAACATAACAAAACAAATGGCAGGGTGGTACTTGTAGCTGGGTAAGGCCCCGGCCACATGCACCAGGGCTGGTGGGTTCAAATCCAGACTCAGCCTGCTAAAAAAAACAAAAAAAAACCAAAAAAATAGCAGGGCATTGTGGCAGGCGTGTTTAGTCCCAGCTACTTGGGAGGCTGAGGCAAGAAAATTGCTTAAGCCCAAGATCTGGAGGTTGCTAAGAGCTGTGACACCACAGCACTCTACTGGGGGAAACAAAGTAAGACTCTGTCTCAATTAAAAAAAAAAAAAAAAAAAAAGGCAGTGCTGGTAGCACAGTGGGCAGGGCCACCAGCTACCTGCACCCCAGCCTGCTAAAAACAAAAAAATAGCTGGGCATTGCAGCAGGTAGGCACCTGTCGTCCCAGTTACTTGGGAGGCTGAGGCAAAAGAATCATTTAAGCCCAAGAGTTTGAGGTTGCTATAAGCTGTGACACCACTGCACTCTACCAAGGGCAACAAAGTGGGACTGTCTCAATTAAAAAGAAACAACAGAAAACCCCCAGAATCTTGTTGAATTTATGTGAATATTCATATTCTTAAAGAATATTCACAAAGTTTTTTCAAAAGCCGGAGAAATTGGCTC